TTTTTATTAGACAATTATGTAGTTTTAAAATACACAGGCAATTACGCCCTCTTTTTCAAAGTATGTATGAGGTTATTGAAGCTCTTTATTAATTTGATTGGGCAAAAAGTTGATAGTTTTTTTTTATAAACATTCTAATTTAATAACTGCCTTGAAAAGCTATTTTTATCACTGGAATCCACATAGATAAATCCTTGTTATGAACTTAAAAGTGTTAATAAATTAATAGAATTCCAATTCATTTATTTAAAACGTTTTTGGATTTGGACAGGTTAAATCAAAATCTCCATCTGTATTTGCACATACTCCAGAGAGATTCACTAATGAAGATCTCATCGGAATGTTCAAAGTATTTTCCGAGATTAGCGCCAACATGTTTAGCATGCATACGACCAATCAAATTATTCTAATGAACATTGTGCCACGACATTCTTAGAAAACACGTGTTCTGAATACATAACAAGACATGATTCCATTCAAGGATTTGCTTCCAATTTGTATGATAAGAGCATTCTGCTTATCAATGTGGTTCCTTTACCTAGTTACATTGAAATTGAGATTTAGTTCATACTTAATATTACTGTTTGTAGGTTGAATAATCATATCATCAACTGAGAAGAAGTATTCACCTTGTTTAAGTAATAGGTCTGAAAACGAACAGACTGATTACCTGATGGTAAGCTATCAGCACCATCCATGGATACTCGTAACACCAAAGGTGTTGCTACAAGTGCGTTGCTGGCCACTTGTGGGTTATTAGGGATTTAAGAATAGGGGATTTGAGATGGAGGGGAAATGATTAAGCCTCCTTACACGGCGAAACACAACGTAAGTGTAACAGTAATATTAGATTACCTAAAAACCTACCTGGGTTACTTACGCGGACGCGGCGACGTCGCGCAGCCTACAATTTTTTGAGTAGGCTGCGCGACGTCGTCGCCGCGTCCGCGCACGCTGCTCATGAGGAAGAACCCCTCTGTGGTTCGAAACTAGTAGAGCTTTTCTCAATTACAAACGTGAGTAACCCGCGATTTTTAGTTAATTTATTATGTCTCACGATAGTTATTATAAAAACACAGTATTATTAGATGCAAAAATAAAGCTCAGAACATCCGAAACCTTATGAAGATTGTAGGAGTAAATACTATTTACAATGTGAAATAAGGCAATGTCATCCTCTTTGCGGAATATATGTAGGTATAGTCAAAAATATAATTGCTTTACCACCGTACCCCGCCCCTCAAGTCTACGTATGATGAAGGTGTAATCGACCATTAAATTGTTATGGGGTGGAAAAATTGTAATCTATTTTTAGGAACGAAATATAAAGGTAAACGCACAATAGTGTTAGTTGCACCCAAGCTGGTTCGAAATACTTACAAGTAAAAAAAGAAGAAATAATGACGTCTAGGAAAGCCGAGTTTGCGGCAGCAGAGCAGGACAAGGAACGAGGGGGTTTTTAGTCAGTAAGGGTCTGACACTCTCTCTCGCATAGAGAGATCTCTGGGCGGGAGAAGTCATTTGATGATTTTTCCCCTGACAAAAATAAACGGTCTAGGAAGACTTCTCGATCTAGGCAAGAGAGGTGTGTCTGGCTTTTACTGGAATAAAAACCATCCCGTTTCTCTTTTTGCTCCATGCCTGAACCGCGGTAAGTCATTGAGCTAGCAAGCCCGGCTGGATATCGGCCCTACCTAAATCCATTTCTGGTCGTCGATGCTAAAATTATCAAAATTACCACTGATTAACAGTAAGCTTTTACTTACATGTTTTGTTTATATTTTTAGTAGTCTGGGTTATAACACTGTACTTAGTCTTACAGTCGCATTGTATTAGTATACAACTACATCAGTCGTATAACCTGCTCAACCCTCTCTATAAAATTTTCATATTCCAATAAAATAATCTGACACAAATTCTCATTTTAGAAATGCTTTTAGGTGTATCCGGGCGGTATACCGCGTCACCCCCGAGGGCTAGGCCGTCTGCACCCTGCACTTAGACGGTACAGTTCAATGACATTCACCTTCAGCTTGAACTTGAACATCGTAATGTACATGGATTGAATAATTCAAGCCATTTCTATTAATAATAATGACAATTATGTTTGAAAGTTATTTGAAGGCAACTATCGATCGCTTTTAGATTTTGTATTTGTCTATAAGTCTGTTAGCGCAACCCACCGAAACTATTGCACGGAATACCTATGTACCTTCATTTACAAATTGAAATGTACATTACATATACTTATTGGAGATTATTCTTTACTAGCTTCGTCCTCAGCTTCGCACGCGGTATAAAAATAATGTATCCCGGGACTTTAACACAGCAGCGTTGAAAGCGATAGATCGAGTAAAATACACAAATCAAGTATAATTTATAGCCTATAGCACTCAGGAACATTGTAGCTATCGATCTGTTAAAGAATTTTGAAAATCCGACCAGCTGTTCGTATATAAAATTGAATATTCTGTACATTTCTCTCGACTTAAAAACGTTTAAATGATCAAGACAAGAAATAAACCTAAAAAAGAGCTAAATTATGTTTATTATTATTACAATCTACTATCAATAATGAGACCATAATTGTATCTATAAGCAAGCTGTAATGATAAGATTACTAGCGATTAGACACAAGTTCACACGAGAAAATACAGTAAACATTTATACATAGAATAAAATAAGCAAAGGATTGACTCCACTAACATACATATAAATGTCCGCAAGACAAAATAAAATGAACAGGTCTTCGCCAACTCCACACAAAGTTACATTTTTATGATAATTCTTACAACTTGTACAAATAAATATTGGAACTAGACTCTTGTTGTATATGTAGGTATGTTTTTTAAGATATATTTTGTTCATTCATAGTCAGAGCTATGAATAGATCTGCTGCATAGCTTGGAGATACTGGTTTTAAGATATGGAGTCAAATTAGATATTTTTTATTTACTTATTTATATACCTATGTTTGTTCATTCAGAAGTGGTAAATGTATTTTTTTTGGCTTTGGACTCATTCACATTTGTTATTGCGTCATAACGTAAACGATTTCATAATTATTCTTCTTTACCTTTATTACTAGCTACTCTCACGCGGTTTCACTCGCTGCTCGGCTTCTACAGATCGATGCGTGATGTTTTATAGCCTATAGCCTTTCTCGATAAATGGACTAACGAATAAAAAAAGAAATTTTTCTATTGAACCAGCAGTATCGGAGTTTAGCTCTACAGCTTTATAATATTAACGAAATTGTTCTAGCCCTTCCATTTTTATTTTGTGCATAGGAACGCATTTTACTAATTATTTTGGCTATTTCAAGGCTAAAAAGGAATGCTTTAAGACTTTTATTTAGGTATATTTAATAAAAGTTTTGTACCATGACCTCAACGTAAATTGGCAACTGCGTCAGCGTTGTTTTTAAAGTAATATCAGTATAAAATCAGCTGCATTATGTATACACAGTAAGCCATCGAATCTTATCATATCGCCCTTGTTTTTATCAGGTGTTGCTTCTATTATATGTAGGTACGTATATAAATAATAATAATCTATTGACTGCTAATCAATACTGACTTTCAATTTAAATGGTGCAAAGAAATTTCACTCTGTAAATACGTTTGAGGTATTATTCAGAGATTTAATATAAAGTAAATACATTTTTAAATGGTAATACATTGCTTATAAGTATATTACGGTATTTTTATGTAATGACATGGGGCATAGTTCTTAAGACTTGTCGATAAACCTATTGAAGAGCGTTTCGGTATTTTTCTGTTTATAAACATTGTGTTTTAGACATCATAAATATGTAGATACACATACACATAAATATGTAGATACACTATATCAATGGTAATTATTTTCGAAACACATTATTCCTAAAACAAAAATCATGCAGGCGTCATGCACAACAATCTACTCAAAACTACTAACAATTAGGTTTAATTTAGCTTCTTGGACACATAGAAGCAATGTACAATTGCAGTTCTAGCACTACGACATTTATTATTAAATCATTAGTAACAAAAAAATAACATTTCAAATTAGTAAAATTAAAAAAAGAACAACAAAAATTTAGAAAAAAAAACTGCTTACAGTGATTCAAAAAAGTTCATCTGATCTATGGGGTTGGTACTGGTTGTTGGGAGAAAATAAAAAAAAAACAAAATTAGTGCACAAAAAAAAGAAATTAAACAAAAATAGGAACGTAGTTGTCATGTTATTTACTGGGGTTCCGTCGCGATCCGTTTAACACCGTCACCTTGTGGACCCGAAAAAAGCGAAGCGAGAAATCCCAATAAGCTTAAATTAAGTACTCTCTTAAACTCTTCAAACCCTAAATAAGCTTAACAAGGTTCTACTTTATTACTTTAAAATAATCATCTTGTAAAGGATGATTAGATGCGTAAGAAACGAGACTTAGACGCTCAAAGTTCATTAATAAAGTAGAACCTAACTATAGTGATATAAAACCCAAAATTGTGTACCACAAAATGAAGAGAGTTGTCCCAAAAAGGTTTACACCCTTCAAAAATGTTGTATAAACAAAAAAAACCGTCAATGATCATTGTTTGGAAACAATACACAATCGAGACAATGGTTTCGCTAAACCAATCAATTAGTTGGCCGTCGAAATATCGGACAGTTTTAATGAATTTTAACGACCATACTGCAAAATGGAGGCAGAGAAAGTTGAGTAAAACGGAATTTCTAACTATACAATTTTTTAATTGTTCAAAGCTATTGATTTGGAAACTAGAATTCGACAGGTTGTGTCCATCTTTAAAAACTACCTTCATTTTGTTAGATAAAGATGGCTATTATCTTTATCTAACAAAATACATGTTGCCAAAAACCTAGCAACGTGACATATTAACATAAACAATGATCATTGACAGGAGTAACGCGTAACACATCCTATAACGAGATCTACCTCAAACGTGTAACTGTAACACTGCCTGTAACAGGTTATGCTGCAACAGTCAAGGACGTACCTGCGCGCGGCCCAGAAGAATCCAGCTGAGTCTACCGGCTCCAGCAATCGAGGTGTGGACGAGCCGAATGCGAAGGCCGGCCGGGGAGCGGAGCGAGCAGCTCGCTGCCGCTCCAGCCGCTCCGTCCGATCGCGTTCGCGTTGCAGCAACGCCTCGCGGCGCGATATTGATGCCTCCCATATCGCGCGCTTGCGTTCTTCAACCTAGAACAAGTAACATTTTTCATTTAATTTCACGTTTCTATGACATTCCTGTGGAGTTAGTAGTGTTATGTACGTACGCCTAAGTAGCTATTTGTAATTATGTATAATGGGATTTTAGACGTATAAGTACTAACGGTTGCTCAATCGAAATTCAATCACACTACATTGGATCCGGTCGTCAGAATCTGTGCTCGGCATTTTAATCGTATGACATCGAAAAAATAATAATATTTAGTTCGGTTGTTCATACTTATTACCTATTTACCACCTATAAAACATTATCTTTAGGAAAAGTACTTACTAAATGCGATCGAGGTGTCTAAAAGTCAGGTATTCTAGAAAAGGAGTGGTGAGATAAACACCTAATAAATTGCATTTAACAGTCGCTTTAATCGATTTTACTGTACGAAAGTTGTTTCGATTACATTTATTTGCCTAGATAAACATTTGATTAGGAAATTGCAAAGTAATAGTTGTCTCGGCCTTTTTGGTGTATAACGAGAAGTTCTGAAGTGGAATATTCTGGAATAATCCGGAATTTTCGGTGATCGCGGTCGGCGTAAGCCTTACTTATTGCAAAGATTACCCTCTTTGGGCATGACAGGTCGCTCGCTTGATAAATAATTGTCTATTTGCCATAAACCACTCTGTTTAGGCCACGGATAAATCTATCCATTAATATGGACCTTACCATTGCTGTTTGCTTAGCAATTTATGAGGTTATAAGTTGATTCTAAAACGGTTGCCATAAATATTGTACTAGAGGAGTACTTATCCATACCAAATTTCTGCAACACTACAGTACTTGTATCTATTGAATAGCAGATTCAACTTCGTATATGTAATGCTCTTCAATACAACATTCAAAACCTTTGAGTCACAAATCATTTCTAAAACTATTAAGGTGCTGTTTAATTTCATGAGATTGCAAGTATGCACACCTACAGCGATTACCAATCAAGCTATATATTTTTTTTATAATAACTATCGTGAGACATACTAAATTAACTAAAATTCGCGGGTTACTCACGTACAAATGTTGAGAAAAGCTCTACTAGTTTCGAACCACAGAGGGGTTCTTCCTCATGAGCAGCGTGCGGTTCGATTCCGGAATCGAACCCACTACCCGCGCCACTGGTGAACGTACCGTGCGCCTCAAACATCGTCACACGCACCGCCGCCGGAGATGGCAGCAAACGCGCGTGGTATCCGGCAGATGGCGCGTTGGACTCGCCGCAGCGCAACCATCAACGGCGATGCAGGCGCCAACGCTAACCAGTAGGCTGCGCGACGTCGCCGCGTCCGCGCACGCTGCTCATGAGGAAGAACCCCTCTGTGGTTCGAAACTAGTAGAGCTTTTCTCAACATTTGTACGTGAGTAACCCGCGAATTTTAGTTAATTAAGCTATATATTTAATACATTTACTGAACTTATCTAATTAATATTTCCATTTTTAAAATAGGAACACACATTCTCATGTAGCATTGGTATGTAGTATGTACAGTCAGCTCCAAAAGTCGATGAACAGAATCAATTTACCAAAACACCTGTTCACAATAAAATGCCATAAGTTATAGTCGCAACTAGGAAACAAAATAGCCTGTACACCAGAAATTTACAAAAGTCGTTACACACGACTAATTCAAAAGTATCTGTGCACTAGTATTCCTAAAGTCGCTGTACACCTTCAATCCAAATGTCGCTGAACATCATTGTATCAAAAGTCACTAAACAGCAGTAAAGACAAAATTAGGTTAACAAAGTATATTTTTAATGTTGCCCCGTGTTAATATACTTTTGACGCATAAGTTGTTCAGCTACTTTTGGGGCAGTGTTTGCTAGACCTTAATAATGTATGTTAACACGTTAGTATCTACATATTTCAAAACTTATTTACAAATAAATTATATTTTATTGTCAGTAATCATACTAATCTATAATTTATGAAATAACATAAACATAACTCTAATGATCTACGAAGTGATTTTTGTGACGGTACTTGTAATTTACTTTGCGCAAATCTTACAAAACCTACCTTCCTTTAATTTATTATTTTTACCCGACTACGGCAATGCTAAAATTTAAAGAATTCGACATATGACATATCATTAGAAACGTCTTAATTGTCCGCTGGTTATAAGTTATATAATGTATTACAAAATCTAATGCGGCGTCGTCTAGCGGACAAAACAACCAGAGTAAAAAATAAAGTTAAGATAAGTATACCGTGTTTGGTATCATTTTAAAGCGCTTTACTTGTACATTTTGAATATATATGTATCATTAGCATTTTTTGGTGACTTTGCTTGTATTCATGTGCTGATTGCATATCAATCACATCTTTTCGTTCATACCTTTTACTACTTAATATTAGTTCATTCTTTTGTTGATATTATGCGACACAAATACACTTTAACACCAAAATAGTACAAATAATAAAAAGTATAAAAACTAACACCCAACTACGACAAACACCGACGCTGAAAAACGCTGTTTTCTTTCTTATCTTGTTCGGAGGAAACGTTCGGGTGTCACCTAGCACAGATCGCCCGGAGGACACGGTAGAATATACGGTGGAAGTGTGCCCCGCTTGAGCAGGAAGACAGTATTTTAATAAAATAACTGTTGCTATAATCACTCTTCTTACAACTCTTGATATTAGGTACAATCACAACAATTACAATTTAACTAAGGATAATTAAGATTAGGTTGAATTTGAACTTAACGTCCACCGAACACGTGGCCGCGTGCGTATTCGACGAAGGTCCAACACTAATTGTCCTGTTTTACAAGAAGGCCGCCTCACCAGAGCTCAGTGTTCGCTATGGACTTGAAATAATTATGACAGTTGACAGTGAAGTTTGACATCGACGTATAACAAAGAGGTTTACCTGCACTGATGGCCAGTGCGCCGACTTATACTTTGTTAACCTAATTTTGTCTTTACCGCTGTTTAGTGACTTTTGATACAATGATGTTCAGCGACATTTGGATTGAAGGTGTACAGCGACTTTAGGAATACTAGTGCACAGATACTTTTGAATTAGTCGTGTGTAACGACTTTTGTAAATTTCTGGTGTACAGGCTATTTTGTTTTCTAGTTGCGACTATAAACTTATGGCGTTTTATTGTGAACAGGTGTTTTGGTAAGTTGATTCTGTTCATCGACTTTTGGAGCTGACTGTACCATCTTCTTTTTAACCGACTTCAAAAAAAGGAGGAGGTTCTCAATTCGATTGTATGTTTTTTTTTATTTTATTTTTTTAGTTATCTTTATCCCTTACAATTCTACACGTCTTTACTTTTGTAGTCAGGTTCAGATAATGTTACAATTAGAAAAAGGTCACATTGGTACTCAAATTCTTATTTTTTGTTAGCATATTTTGACTAGTGGACCCAGTAAGGTATAGCTTCCTCTCCAGGTTTTGAACCTTCTCGCATGCCATGCAAGCGCCCTTTTTTACCAGGGGAAAATCATGGAATGACTTCTCTCGCCCAGGATGGGGCGGGAAGAAGTGTCAGACTCTTACTGACTGTAAACCCCCCGTTCCTTCTCCTGCTCTACACCGGAATCGCCCTTATATTAATTTCACCAGTATCATATCATACATACAACTATCTCTTTTACATTCTCGCACTTGTTCTAATTTGCTTCAATTTGCACTACTACAAAATGCGGAATAACACTGTGATGTCAAACGTTGAATATAAATTGTCTATAATAACGTCTAATAGACTTTGTACTGCATCTATTGTCTTAGTCAGATATTTTAATGATGTGCCTTATTATTGGAAGCATCTAGACTATTTAGATCTAAACTAATGACTTTAAAGTCCCCATGTTTCATATATGTACACTCAAACAAAAGACTGCCGTACACAGAAAGACATTCAATTTAATGTACTTATCTCTTAGTAATATTTTTTTCTAAAAACAGGACTTAATAACGATATTTTACTAAAAGCAATTGCTCAGGACTCAGGTATACAATAAATCGACTCGGAGTGCATTTTTGCATGGCCGATTGCTGGGCTTAAAGTTCAGAGCATGTTTTAGGGAACGCTAAAACAAAATATGGGAATACTATAGACTGGAACAGTAAATACACCTCTATATACGTAGAATATTAAAGATATTACTCATAAACCCAGGGGAACCTTGACCACGAATGGAATTGTCAATCAAGATTGCCCAAGGTCAAGATCAATTAAAGTTCAAGGTTCATGTCTAATTTTACAGCTTCCTGCGGTAAGAGTCGCTAGATCGATATACGAAGTAAAAAGGTGCCTTTAGTCTGCAGGGAGTAGGAAAACTTTGATAGAGAATTGACAATAAGTTAATGATTCAGTCTCTTTAAAGATTATTTTTGTGGCCATTTAAATTACAAGATTGTCGTTCTTTACATAGTAAAACTTATTAACTATTGTCCTTAAATGCATTATTAGGTCAGTTAACAGTGTAGTTGAAAACTTTGTTTCCATTATGATTCAAATCATCCACTTGTAAAACTAAACCATAAATAGGTACTTTTGGAAATAATTTGTTGATAAAAAACTATATTTTATTAAATAATAATCCAGATTTGGAACAACGTGTAAAATAAAATATTCATAAAGTATTGATAAATCGATACATAACATTCATGCAACATTGTCGTTACACAGGTAACTGAAGAAAAAGGCCGATTGACACAAAAATAGGCTGGGAAATATGAGTTACTTATTGTAATTTACCTAATGGCAATTATAAGAAATGATTATATGTCTATAACCGCCAGCTGGCATATATCTTTCCGGCATAGTTGAATATAATCATGAAGGCAAAGCCTCGAGAGCTTTATATAATAAATCATGATTTTATCATAACTTCACTTTTCAATAAGGATGGATTTCATTAATGCGTAACCGAAACCAGAACTGGTACGAATAAATCCTCAGTGAATCACTTAACAAAAAACCATCCAAGGGCCTGATAAGGAAATAGCGCGCGTAAGCCGAT